TTTATTATTAAACTTTACTCATCACTTTTAAGTCTCACAATTTCTATTTCTAAATAGAATTAATCTAACCATCCTCAATCTACTCAATGGCATTTTCCGGCCACCTCATCCACGATCTTCCAAAATTTTTATCTTCATGGGTAGAATAAGGGTCATCTTGACTACCCTCAATTATGTCCATAATTTTAATGTGTTCTCTCTTCTAAAACCTTTAAATCGTGATTTTTGTATGAACTTTTTATTATGCATCACTTGCTTTCGATAGATCATGCCAATACTATCTCTAAAAGGATAATATTTTTTTTTACTACTCTTAAATACACTTTAGAGGTCATCGTGTTGCTTTGTCATTCAATTTCAAGTTGTACTTTTTTACTGCTAAAAGAACTGTCTCATTCACACTCAATGGCTTCCTTAATCTTTTTAGCATGTCATTTGCCACTTTAATGTCATGTTACATTTGTCTTCTAAGGAACTATCCTAAAAGTAAATCTCATTATATCACAATACTAAGTAGGGATGTCCAAAATTGGCCTGACTCGCCAACTTGACCCTAACCATACCAAAAAGTCATGGTTTGGTTGGGTCCGGTTCGGATTAAAAATCATAACCCATTTAATTTCTCTAGTTAGGTTCAGGCTGACTCGCCATCCCAAAAATGATCACAAAATTGGCCCACCGACCCTAAATTAACTCGAAATCACCCGTCAACTCAGATTTGATCCAAGATTGACTCAAAATTGACTCAATTTTAACCTGAGTAGTTGTTTCTCCTTATATTAAATGGGTTATACGAGTTGGGTTTGAGTTCGCAGGTTGAGGGCATATCGTTTTCAGGTGGGATTTTTTATCTATAGTTTAACATTCGAGTCGGATTTAGGTCAAGTAGTTTCAGGTCAGTTCAATTGTGGGTCAGACCCGAATACTACCCGTTAACCCGATTTGACACCCCATTCCTAAGGATACTTATTACAAATAACTTTCACTTGTTTTGTAGTATGCCTTCCCCAAACTCGTGAAATGACGACAATTACTAGCTCACTTCTACTTCTAACAGGAATTGCCTCAATTATTTCTTGCCCAATTTTGTAATCTTTTGTATTTTTTATAAAAGTATCTATCCTCTATCCATTTTATATTTCTCTAATTATTTGTAGCCTGGACAATCAATATATGTCACTATTGAGATTTGACTTCTAGCACATAATAATATTAGTATCAGCAAATCAAATTAAACAGATTTCCTAAATTATCAACAAACACATGAAAGAGGGTAGCACGAGAAACTCGTCTCCATCCTCAGACATGTGATAAATAATTATGTATTTTGTATTGTGTGTAAACACTACAACGTTAGCTTTTCCTCGAAGGAATAAAAAAACGGATTTGATATACTAAAATGGCAAAGTATTGTTCATCCTCAGACATGTCACCAAGGTCGTGTTAAGATTAGGTAATATTTATGAGCGAAAAAAAGGGACTTTTAGAGACATACCCCACCCATTTTATATATGTTTACATATCTAAGACCTAAATTTTATCTCTTACATTTATTTCAACCCAATGTTTGATATCATATCAAAAGTATTGCTATTTTAATTTTTAAAAACTGAAATAGAACTTTTCATATATAGATAAGACGATATATATAAATAGATATGATGAATTCAAATATGTCTGGAAGACAAACCTAAGGAATAAACACAAACTTTTAAACTACTTTATTTTTCACTCCTAATCACTTCACACCAGGTATAAATGAAAGTGCACGTATCACTCAAGTAATATAAGACTATCCTGATGTCCCGAGTATCGAATCCATTGGGAAGTTTGTTAATTTGATGGACTTGAACTAGGCTCAAGCTGAATCTAGAAAGTCTTAGCTAGGAAATAGGTTCGATTTTAAGCGAGCTACGAAATTTTACTAAACTTATGAGTTAACCATTTAGTTATGTAAACCAAACTAAGTTAAGCAAAATGTTCAAACTAATCGCGCTAAACTAAATTAAGCTGGAAGTTCAAGCTAATTAGACGTTCCCTCCTTTTGTAATAAGATTAATATGTAGTGTAAGCTCAATTAAAATAGAATCTTTAAGTAAAATCTGTGACAAATAGGAGCATCCCCATTTTTTACCTTTTTACAAGTGCATAAAGAATCTAGGTTAACATACGATAAGTTTCTGCTTGTCACCCTAGAAACCTCCTAGTTATCCTTGTTAAAATCATCTCCCTATCTATTTGCACTAGCCTAAGGTTTACTTTTCCTTCACCCTAAAGGTTAGTGTAATATTCAGTAGTTGTTAAAAGCCATAGCCCTCTCGGATTTTTTTAGTTCACTACAAATTTTTACATTACAAATGACAAATTTGCAAAGTAAATGAAGTACAAATGAAATACCATCACATTCATTAAAGTAACAATATTCTACTTTAAATTAAACCCTACAAATGTTGCTAATCCATTTTAAAAGAAAGGAAGCAAAAAAAATTACTCAAACTTCATGGAGAAAACCGCAATACTCAATATCTTATATTATAGCACAATCAATTTCTAAGGAAAACATCAATACAAGATAATAAAATACAAGAACTTGTCTCATTTCCTGAGAAAATGAAGAAAAGATCCACCAAACAGTGCTCTCCTTGCAATCTCACAACGAATCCTTGCAATTCAAGAAAACAGGAAAAACAATGAAAAGCTCTAACTTTTTTCTTGAAATCCCTACACTTTATCTCCTTCCTTGAACTCTTCAATACTTCCTCCTGGTGTCTAAGGAGTTTCTCCCCCAAACAATCTTTGATTTCGTGCTTAAAACTGCTGAAAAACTGCTCTGGGTAATTATGGCACCTAGGTGCCACTGGCTATGTGCCAATATGTAGAGCCTAGGCGGCACCTCCTCCTTTGGCTGGGAACAAAAACTGACACCCATGCTCCAATATGTGGTGCCTAGGCGTCACTTTCTCTAGAATCCTTACGAAGTGTGGCGCCTAAGTGTCAAGATCTGACACCATGACACCATGGAATGGTGCCTAGGTGCAAAAAACTGGCGTATATGCGCTAGTTCAGCTTCAAGCTCCATTTCTCTAATTGCTCCGTCTTCGCTCCCGTTTGCTCCAATTGATTAACCTGTTATATCTACAATAAAAAACATGACGCCTATGCGTTAGGTCCCTGATGCCAAGGCGACGTCCCCAGGTGCCCACTTTCTGTGTCCTTGGGTTCGAGACGCTGTTTTGGAGCTGATTTCAGATGCCTAGGTGCCGAGGGTCTGACGCTTATGTGTTGGGTCTGACGCTTAGGTGCTAGGTAGCTGGAGCCTACTTTTTGGCTCCCCAGGTTGAAAACTACATTTTGAGGTGGTTTAGGCGCCTACTTTCTAGGGGACCGACGTCTAGGCATCAGGAGGCTAGCAACTACTTTTCATGATCTTAGTTTAAATATCCCAGGAGGTGCTCTCCAAGCACCTAATAATGGCGCCTAGGCACCCGTCTAGCTTGAAAAACCCTGACTTTCATGTAGATCATCAGACAGAGGGTTTCTTCGATCAGTAAGCTACGAAAGCTTACATATGACTAAAATATAGGCTTGTGAATTCAAAAAAGAGAATTTTATAGGTCATTCTTCAAAGAACTAACACCGATGGACACCCAAAACTATAGCATGGGCAGAATGCCTTAAACCCTAACTTTCTCAAGATGTGCGTAGAAGGCTTCAAGACTTCCCTTGACTACGAGAGGCTCCTTATGAATATTTCATGGTCTTTAAAAACTAGAATGGACATAAAAAATGTCCCATATCATTACTAATGCTATTCATTGATGATTTTTTTCTCGGGGAAGGATGAATCATCGTGAACGCTAGTTTGTGCCCCTAAAATGTACCTGGAGGTCTAGATGGATGTATTGAACTATGAGATTCTATGAGTGAATAGTAAATAATCCCAAGTAATTCAAGTGGACATCCTACAAATCTGATATCAAAAATTTGTGCCAATAGTAACCGAGCTATACGCTCTTTTATCTTATAACTAAAATACCTTATGATGCTCGCATAAAAGCAGAGGCAAACATGCAATTATATACTTTATACCCCATGCCTATAAATATGGGGGCATTTCTACAATAAGGTTTAATCAGTCATTTATAAATTAATTAGTTATTTATTGTGCACTCTCATCATCCTTTCTCTCTCTCTCTCCAGTTATATACTCTATTTCTAGGGTGTGATTCATAAGACAAATCAAGATTCAACATCTTGAAAGATACAATGAGTGTAGAGCATGTCACCACTAAGAAAGGAGCAAAAAAAGAAGAAGAAAATCACCAGAGAGACATATCGAACATGGAGTACACAAGAGAGTTTGTGTAGTAACATAACATGAGTTAAGCGACCAAATATTGGGCCAATTGTTAGAGGCCATCAGAGAAGCAGTAGCAGAGAGAAGGGAACTAAACCCTTAGGAGGAACCAATGCCAAACTGTTGGAGGGTATTGTCGCCTGAAGAAGGAGCAAAAGTTCCCTAGTACCAGAATAGTGTTGGGTCAACATTGATAGATAAACAACGTTTCGAGAGCGTTGAGAACTTCAGCTAACCAAAAGAATGCATTCTCTCAGCAGATTTTAGATAAACAAAATTTCCTTTTTACATTTAAACTGCCCAAATCTTTGACAATGGCCTCAAAAATAGAAGAATTCTAGGGACATTTACATGCATCACACCAATTATTATGTATTTACATATCTAACACCTAAATTTTATTTTGTTTATTTATATAAATAATTCTTCAATATCACATCAAAGATATTGCTATTTTAATTTCTAAAATATGAATTTTTTCATGAATTTTAATACAAAATATTATAAAAATATTATTTATTTCATGAGTCGACCTTAGAAGGTTAGTTATATTTGACCCACTTGTTTAAAGAAACGAACTCGAGATAGACAAATGCAAATTGCAAGCACTGTTTCCCGGGCAATCACTCCCTCGTCTACTACCAAACCCGAAACGAATCACTTCCCACGACACTAATAACTATAAATACGTGGGTTGCCTGCTCGTGGTCTCGACCGCATCAGCCGGACATTCTCCTCGGAGATATTCTCTGAGCCCTTTAATGTTGGATCGCAGCTGCGGTTTGGAGCCAGGATTTGGTATAAAGCATCTCTCTCTTTCTCTCTCGTCTCCATCCTTGTCGTTTGCTTTTCCTGGGTTCAGTTGACCACTTTCTTGAATGAGCTACAGACCACAGTTCTTGAATGAGCTATAGACTACCGTTCGGAAGCCGTTTCTGTTTGTTGATGATCATCTAAGGATCCTTAGGAACGAAGGGTGGTTTCTGTCTGTGATTTTCTCAGGTAATGGGTTTGTTTTATCTTTTTGTACATATGCACTTAGATATAAGTTGAGTTGTTACTTAGTGTATGCGCGTTCCTTTTGTACTTTTTGTTTTATTTGATTATGGATCAATATTAGATGGATGGCATTTCAGTGTTCCCTACTCTGTAACTTTTGATCCACTTGAAAGTTTCTCTTTCCAAGTAGTATGCATTTCGATGGAGTTATCAAGAACAAGAGGTTTCTGATCTGTTTGTACGTAGAAACCGCAGTGTGTGGTCAGTCGATTGAGGCTTTCTGTTGGTTAATTAGAAGTTGAGAGGCTTGCTTTTTTAGTTACTTAATTGGCTTTTAGGTTCTCCGGACCTTTTTTTCCTCTTCTTCTTTTCGTGCTGCTTTGGTAAATTTATGAGGATTAATTTCGTATATATGGAGCCCAACATTTTCTTATTTCGAAGTCTGGCTCCTATTTATCAATGAGTTTACTTGAATCTGATTGTGGAACTTGCATTTGTGCTTGTCCACAGTTACCAGGGCAAACAATAAATGCCCAGTCTGGAGGACAGCGACAAATCATGATTTTAAATCCGATTCTAGCTGCTGACCTCGAAATAAATATGGTTTCAGCTAATTAACTATTTGATTTCTTAGAGTTTACTTTGTTTTATACTGAGTTAATTTTGAAGGTTTATACAGGGTGAATCTTTGATTTGGAGATTTATCATGCTAAAGCTCTCGCAATGCTGATGTCGTTTTTAATGCACAAAGCCTTTTTGTTTTATTACTCTACCATATTAATTTAAGTAGAATTTCATGCTTATTTCTTTGCTTGAATGAAACAATTATGAGATATTGTGCTCTTGGATTAATTAAACTTAGGAAACTAGTTAGGCAGGCTTCATCTAAGTGATTCTCTTACTAGTTAGGCAGCATTTATCACAATTTTAGCTCTCATTTTATAATAATGACCCCATTGTTGCCAAATTTACTTTTGAAGTGTATGGATTGATGCTTCGATATGTCCATGCATTTGCACATACTTGCAATGAGTTACATACTTTCACCAAAAAACGAAAAATAAAAAAAGAAAAAAGTATTAAATGTTGTTGATGAAAAGGTGGTATTAGGAAGACCGCACCGGTCTTTTGCAACAACAATCAAATGAGTACTAATATTCTAAGTTATTTACTTTTTTTTCTTCGTTTTAGTGTTTGTTTTGGATCCATATTTAAATAAATAAGTTTGAATGAATTTCTTAGATTTGTCAAGTTCATAAGTCTGAAATTAGTTATCACTCAGTGGGTACTTGACTAATAGATGCAATGCATGTGGCCCAAGCATGGGAGACAAAACACAATTTTTATATGCGGAAATTTACTTGAAGCTTTCAATTGATAACTCTAATTGGTCTCCTTATGACCCTTTGATAAACATTGATAAAACGCTCATATTGATGAGATGCCTTTGAAGTTCATTCACTCGCCACTCACTTTGTAATAAATTGTGGAGCCAACTTTTATCCTATGAAGGTAAACACACAAAAAGGTTTACAATATATAAGACTTATTTTACTAAGCTTGTTTGGGGAATTTTTTTATATTTCTAGTTATCTTAGTTTTCATTTATTTATTTTTAATAAAGAGTGGGGAACTATCTTCATGTTAAATTCGAAGAATTAGGATTGTAAAACTTGACAATCAAACCATAGTGAAAACAATAGGACCTAGCCATCGATTGGGTGAGCTTGCATATAATTCTTAGCATGTTTTTTGTGTTGATCCTCTTTTTTGTTTTCTGTTTTTTTCCCCATTAGCGATTGAATTGCGTTTCACCTATTTCTAATACTTTACATTTTCTGATTTAATGTTCTTGAAAAGAAAGTTGTGTTTAGTTCTAAAAGATGAACTGCTCAAGAGAATAACATACCACTCTTTTTTTTAACTTGAAATTTGTTACTTTTTTTGGCACAATTAATTGATTGCTAATTACTTTGTATATAATTTAATTTTGTAATATTTCTCCATTATTTCTTTGACTATTTTGCTGGTTTCAGTTTTATAACTCCAAAAGCAAAGATGGTGAACTTTGGGAAACGGTTGATGGCTGAACAAATCCCAGAATGGAAAAGGTTTGGTCCTTTATTTTTTTTTTTAATTTGAGACTTTGCATAAATTTTGTACTTTTTACCTTCTCACTTTGATCATATAGTTGAAAAGATTGACTATGAGGTTTGCAGAGGTTTATTTTGATCTCATTGCCATCTGGCGAAAGAAACTACATTGATTTTCATAGAAAGTAATTTTTGTTGTCTTTTTGTCTACATTTCTCTTTTAATTTTTACAAAGTTTAATACGAAATGAAAATTGGGCAAAAGAAAATTGTGCTGATTGTTGCTGTTAATCTAGATTTTAGTTCTTCAAAGTCTGTCAAATGTCAGCCATTGCTACCTGGTCTTGCCTGTTAAATGGGAAATTGATGCTAGAATTAAGGCGAATAATCAATTGCGGTTTCAATTTTGGTTCAAAATTGGAAGTTTCAGTTCCACCAATTTTGACACTTCAATGTTCAAAGTTATTGTACCGTTCAATCACTTTTATCTTTGGGAAGATTCAACGAAAAATAAAAATGTTTGTATTCATGATGACCATTTTGATAAAATTTTAGTATAAACCTTTTAAAGACCTTAAATATAGGAAAATATTTGCTTTATTTAATTAGAAAAACGAAAGTCATATAATGTAATCTCTAAAAATTATTATAGTAATCTGCTTGTAAATAGTTACAAATGTTAGATAGTTTTACTTCAATTCTTTTTAAAAATCATGATATGATTTACTTAGATGATTGTACATGTAAATGTATGGAGCAAAACCAGATTTTGTGTTGTGAAAAACGACGACAATGAAGCGAAAAATTAGAACGAGAAAATTTGCACGTAGAAAAAAATACCAGAGCGACACACGGATTTACGTGGTTCGACAAGTTTGCCTACGTCCACTGAGCTGTAGAGGATTTTATTTCTTCGAGAAATTACACCGTCGAGCGCCTCGACGTTTATAAGAAAATCTCTATTTTCTTCTCTCCCTTCCTCTCTTTATCTCTTCCTCTCGTTCTCTTAGCTCTCAAGATGACTTGACTTGGTATTGTTTGGCTTGCATTTCCTTTAAACCAAAAGAGACTATTTATAGAAACTATGACAGCGGTAGGTGGGAGGTAGGTGAGCGGTAGGTGGGATGTGGTAGGTGAGCGGTAGGTGGGCGTGGTAAGTGAGCGGTAGGTGACTTACTTAATTAAGAAGCTAATTAAAGTCGATGGACCGGGTCTCCACATTACCCAACATTTTGTTCTTTGGTGTGTAATGATGCATCAAGAGGTAGCTACCAGTGGCTAATGAGCTCATCAAATTGTCATATGCCATGTACTTATCAAATTGAGCTGGTCTTGACTTTCACTAGAACTATGTACGTTAGTGCGACCATATGCATCATATTTGTTAGCACCAGCAAGATAACCATAATCTCTTGCATATTTATCATTAAACTCATTTACTTTAAAGAGAATCCCTTTATAATCCTCTCTTTCATATATTTTATCTGTATAATTCAAGTCCAATGTTTCATGGGTTTTAAGGAATGAGTATCACACCCATTATCAATTTTTCTCCTCCATTACAAGTATTACAAGCCCTCTCCCCCCTTGTCTTTCTTGTCTCTTCATCGTCATTTCACATCTGTCGAATTGAGTAAGTTCAAAAAATATATTTATTGTAAAATTCATGGGAGATTAATTTTTTTTATTCTGGTAGTTTTTATGCTATATTTAGATTCATGGAATCATCTTATTATTTGACCAAAAATTGAAGTAAAAATATGTTGTTAACTTCAATTGGATAGGCGACCCTTTTCTATAATAGTATTCAGCCTAAATTGATCCAAATGTAGCCTAGGTTAATCAGGTTTAACTAATGACTTTCAATATATTTATTTACGGTTTCATGTGATTGAGTTTTGATTAAATTAGATCTCACCATTCCTCACATCCTCATCATGACTAGAATATTTTCTTGACATTTGTACTTTAATTTTTAATAGCCTATTGCATCTGCCACTCTCTATTCTCATATTCTTTTCATGATTTGAGTTTAGGAAATTATTGTGCACCCAGTGTTATTGTCGAGGAATTAAGACAAAAAAAAACTTAAGAATCATCAAAATCAAGAAGAAACACAAAGATTTAATGAAGTTCGGCAATTTACCTACATCCTCGGGAGCAGAGCGGCGGCTTCTTTAGATTTCACGAAAAAGAGTACAAATCCCCTTTAGGATTACAATACAATATATATATA